CATTCAGTAACGCGTCGGTGAGCCACTTTTAAGACGGCTGCGATACCGATCGCAAAACAGACCATAACACCACGTCGTCAGAGCAGCCTGCTGAGCACGGCTGGTGCTACTACCATCGCCACTTCGGTGACAGGGCACGGCAATGTCGACCATCGTGCTCCGCCAAAGAGAAGCACCAATGGCAGCTGGTGGACACGACCACAAGCTGCCAAACTGTAGGCCACCGAATCTTTGTCACCGACCAGGTCAAAAGGCAGCGGTTCCTTATCGGTCGTGGTTCCAACATCTGCTGCTCTCCGTGGTCCCCCCTTCAAGGTCCTCGCCCACCGACATCTTTCGAGTTCAGCACGGCTAAGCGGTCCACAATCATGACGTAGGGCTCGCTGCGTATGCAGCGGGTTAAGATTGAGAATGCTGTACGGAGCCGGCGGATCTAGCCTTGCATAGTTTGTAGGCAATCGCCCCACCCGGTTTCCTCTTTGCTAATTGTAGCTAATGTCCTTTCTTTGTTTTTGACTAAGCACGAGAATGTTAAAATTATGCATATCATGACATAAGCCTGCATAAACGGCAGTCTTTGTGCTATTCCACGTCCAGTATTGTGCCGGCACTCCATCTCTATGCACTATACCCCAAACTAATTGTCACTTATCACCAGTGACATGCGAGGTCTGTAGCATTCTAAAATTTCAAGTCGGGAGACATGTTTCCTGAAGATCTAGGGACCAGGTGGAAACACAATATCAGTCAAGCTTTCACATGGTGAACCTAGCCGTTGCAATTCTTCCCGTCCGCGACCTTCACTGCAACTTTGTCATCGTCGACATCACCGAGCCAATAATCGGCTCAGACTTTCTGGCTCACTACAACCGCCTTCCGGACTGCCGCAGCGACCGGTTCATCGATGCGACAACGGGACACTTCAGACCAGGCCAGCGAACGACCACCCAACAACCAAGCATCAAGGTCCTCAGTGTCGACATTCGCTCGCCGTACCATGCCAGCCTCGCCGAGTTTCCCAGCATGACACACCCCAGCGGACCGCCACGCAAAGTGCAGCACACCACCGTGCACTACATCCGGACCACTCCAGGCCCCGCAGTTGTCTGCTGCACCCGTCACCTTGCCCCAGTGCGCATGCGCATAGCCAAGGCAGTGTTCAAAGCCATGCTCCGAGAATGCATCGCCCGTCGTTTCTATGGCCCATGGGCCTCGCCACTTAACATTGTCTCAAAGAAGACCGCTGGCTGGCGACCATGTGGGAACTGCAGTGCCCTCAACGCGTGCACCATCCAAGACAGGTACCTTGTCCGCCACATACAGGACTTCATCCGTCGCATTCACGGCTGCCACGTCTTCTCCGTGCTAGACTTAGTGAAGGCTCACACGAAGATACCCGTCAATCTGCACGACGTCCCGAAAACTGCAATAATCACTCCATTTCGGTTGATCGAGTTTGCCTTCTTGAGCTTTGGCCTAAGAAACGCAGAGAAACATTTCAGCACTTCATCGACGAAGTCGTCCGTGGCCTCGACTTCTGCTTCTTCTATCTCGGCGACATGTTGATCTTTTCACGTGACGCTGAAAAACAAAAAGGCCACCTTCGTCAGCTGCTATAACGCCTCGACCACGACGGCCTGCTCATCAACGTCCAGATGAGCATGCTCAGAGGTTTCACCGTCCAGTTCCTCTTCCACGAAATTTTATCAGAGGGAACTCTATCCTCGCCTGAATGCTTTTCTGACTTGCAGAAGTACCCTCAACCCACCACTACGAAAGCCATTCGCTAATTCCTCAGTATGGTCAACTTCTATAGACGCTTCTAACCGCACGCCGCCGACTACCAGGTGCCCCTTCATGATGTCTTGGCTGGTCTACGAGAAAACCAACCCATCATGTGCCCACTGACTTTGGTGTAAATTTTTTAGGAATCCAAGGCTGCTCTTCGCACCGCCATGCTCCTTTCCTGTCCCGTGTCTGATGCTTCTTTGGGACTCTTCATGGACGCTTCTGGTACCGCTGTCGGCACCGCCCTAATGCAATGCTTGGGCAACACCTGGCACACCTTGGTATTCTGGTATTCTTCTCTAGAAAACTCTCACCTTGGAAGGCAACCCCTTCCACGGCCAGTTCCACCAACGAAACCACGGCCGCTACACCTACAAGTTTGCCAGCTTACTACAGAGAGCTTCTGGCGATGTACGAAGCAGTGCAACACTTTCACCACGTTCTCGAAGCTCAGTGCTGCACCACCTATACCGACCACAAGCCTCTCACCTACGCATTATCTCAACGTCGCGACAAAGTCCCGGCTTTTCAGCAAAATCAACTCTCGTTCATCGCACAGTTCATCACTGACAACCAACATGTCAGCGCGAAAAACAATGTGGTCGCCAACGCGCTATCACGTTTAGCCACCATCAGCTCGGAGAACATAACAGCGAACGTCATCGCCGAGGCTCCGACCACAGACGCTTAACTGCAGGAACATCGCAAGGGCACATCTTCACTTCAGTCATAAAAAGTCTCAATTCCAGGGTCGACAACCACAATCTGTTGCAGCACGTCAACAGAACGAAGCAGGTCCTATGTGTTCCAGTCCCATCGGCGTGGCCTTTTTGACTAGCTCCACAACCTCAGCTATCCCGGCATAAGCGATGTTGAGGAAAGAACAAGCCGCCGTCCTTTTGGCGAAGCCCACTCGTTGACCTCCTCTTTATTTCGAATGCACCAATATTATCCTAATAATGATAGTGCCGCTCGTTGACATTCACACAATATTTAACATCCTCCACGCCCCCACATTCTCCACGCCCCCACCTCCTCCACGCCCCCACCTCATGATAGACACTAACACACGCGCGGGTTCCAAGTGCACACCAATTGTTAGACAGTATTCCTCAGAGTTCCAAGTCAGTCCGAGTATAGTGTCGTCCGGGTCTCCTTGTGAATTTGATTTTCCAGCAGTGTTTTCGACGCATGTGCAACGTTCGTGCTATTGAGCGCACTGAGTTCGATGCGCCTGTGAGCAGGTTTCTTCGGTATCGAAATTCCCATTGAAGGCGCTTCCAGAAAAATATTGTGCAGCTCTTTCTCGTGCAACTTTTTCTTTGATTTTTTTAATTGTCTCCATTTACCTTGCAAGCATAAGCCTTCTGCCTCCGTCCTCGTCTCATCTTTTCCCTTCGCCACTGTGACACTCTCGGCATTTCGCAGCTTCGCGGTAATCAGCAGTACCATACACATTCTCTTCAATCTTGATTTGTGCACATTTCTCGATGAGTGGAAGCTTGGCACAGTACAAGGTGCTTGTTTTTTTGTCGTCGTGGTCTTTCTTTCTCTCTTTCATTTCTTTTCGCTCCATGAGATGTCCTTCACTTTCTTTTGTCGGGCACTTGTACGCACGGTGATGAAGACTTTATAATGTCTGAGTCTACGAGCTTTTGCTTAGACGCAAGCTTAACATCTCGTAGGTGGCCTCTTTCCTCTACAAAGTCTTCCCCCTTTTCATTCGTGAAAGTACCTTTCACCTCGGACACCGGATTTGTTGAATACTTCTTGTTGATAGTTTCAGGAGTATTGCACGCGGACAACAGTACTACAGGCAGCGGCATATCTCTGTAAGGAGCAGCTGTTCTGTGCGGGCTCCTTTGATGGTCGTTACTGCAGTCAAGGTGCTAATAACTTTGCTTTCTCCACGTTCTAGAATATCTCCAGAGGCTGACTCGTCTGGCATCTGTGCTGCAAGGTTACTATCCGATAGGCATCGGCAGGATGGTGGTGACGCAAACACACAGAGTGTCTTTTCTTCTGCTTCCATTTTATTCTGTTATCTTAATGACGTTAGATAAACCTATCAAGCCTTCAAGATTTCCGCGATCTTATATCCGGCTCCAGACTTTGCTAGCATAATCTGGTGGTCGTAAATATCCGCTTTTTTCATCTCAGCTTCAATATTACCGATGTCAACTGCTACTCTACTTCTTTGTCAATTTCTTTAGGTTATCGTTCTGTTCAAAATGCACTAACAGTTCTTCAACTCCCGTATTGATGAGTGGTTCATATGCAAAAGGTGTTCGATATCTGCGATGACCTGCGTAACGGCCTTGCGTGTTTGACTCCGCCTTTTCTAGAGGGCCTCCTTCATTCGGTTTAGTGTCAGAAAAGGGAGAAATCACTGGCCGGCCATGTCATGAGACAAAGTTGAAGTCAAAGCGGCATCCCTCGCAGAAGATTCGCACAACGAAGATGCTGGAATCGTCGAGATGACATCCTTAACGATCTGGGTCACTGGTAGGGTTAAGCCTCGCACATCAGCTTTACCCACAGTGGCTACACAAAGTCCTCCAGGCTTGGACTGCGGTCAAAATTCACGAAGTCCGCTCCGTCTCACCTTCTAAGGTCTTTCCTCCAGGGCTTCGTGGCACCAAAATGTTGAAGGAAAGACAACCACTCGTCCCCATGGCAAAGCGCACCCGTCGACTTCCTCTTCATTTCGAATGCACTGATCTCATCCTAATGTTGATAGTGACGCTTATTGTCGTTCACACAATGTTTACACGTGACTCTACACGCCTCGTGGCTGACCTATATCTGGCCCTCCATGCAGTGGGATTGTCGCACCTGGGCGCGCTCTTGCATTCACTGCAAACGTGCTAAAATTATCAGGCACGTCACGTGTCTATTCGGAACATTCCCTCAGTCCTCTGGTTGGTTCAAGCCCGTTCACCTCGACATCATACGATCTTTTCCTTCGGCGGGACCCTACCGACATCGAGCGGTACAATCGATGGCCCGAGGCATGACCTCTCGAGGGAATCACCACAGAAGCCGTCGTCTCACCTTTTTCACCGGCTGGATTGCTCGTTTTGCCCCCTCCCCCTCGCCGTGTAACTACCAACCAAGGACGACAGTTCGAGTCGCACCTGTTCAGGCTTCTCGGGCCAACTATCGGTTCTGAACGCTCGAGGACCACCAGTTACCACCCCTGCGCCAACGGAATGATCGAGCGTTTCAACCGACAGCTCAAGGCAACCATTATGTGCCACCCGGACTCAACCTGGCTCGACGCCATCCAACCTGTCATTCTCGGTCTTCGCGCCATCTTCAAGCCGGATATCCACGCCACACCAGCAGAGCTCGTATACGGGGAACCACTCCACCTACCAGGTGAATTTCTCGCAGCTCTGCCTTTCAGCACCATGGTGTCAGACCCCACCGACTTCATCACCCTGCTCCGACGCACCATCGCTGCCTTACGCCCGTCACCTGAAGCCCGCCACAGCAAGCCTACACGTTTTGTGTTCAAAAAGCTAGCACCGTACATGCACGCGTTCCTCTGTGACGACACCATCCGCCGACCTTTCCAGCCACCCTACAGTGGACCCTACCTAGCTATCCATCGCAACAACAAGATCTTCCCTCTGCGCCTGAACGGAACGACGTTTGCGTCTCGATTGAAAGACAAACCTGCACACATCACCACGAAAGAACCGGGCAGCGCGGCTCCTTTCACAAGCATTCTTCCGCAGCAACCGGCGTCGCAGCCTGCTCCATTTACGACAACTTCTGGGCGTATGGTACGCCTCCCACACTTCCCTGAGGGCTCTCCACTCCACAGGGACGTGATCTGACGACACAATCTGCGCAATTCTGAATGCAGCCTCCACCTCCCCCTATCTTCTCGCTCGGCGTAATCAATCAAGCTGTCTTGAAGAGTCACCTCCCATATATATATATATATATATATATATATATATATATATATATATATATATATATGTGTGTGTGTGTGTGTGTGTGTGTGTGTGTGTGTGTGTGTGTGTGTGAGGTATGAAGCGATGGTTGGTAGAGGCAGAGAAGGAAGAAGTGACAGTAGAATAAAGATAACGTATGAGCCAAGCCACGTCTCCCATTCTTCATAGCGTCACACGAGTCGGCAGGATGAAGACCTCGCAACCACTTCATCGCCCGGCCATCATCATCGGAGACCTCAGCGAGACGCAGTGACCGAACGCGGACCACCAAGACCACCAAGCATCATGACAGCAGCATCAGAAGACCTTGACATCCCTAAGTACACCGGATCAGTGGACGACGGACCCGTACAGGACTGGTTCAACCTGTTCGAGCTCCATGCCACCGCTGCATCATGGTCGGAACGGGAGATGATCATCAACTTCACTGACTACATCTCAGGTGAGGCATTTAAATTTTACCTCACCCACATCTTCGAGAACGATGAGTCTTGGAAAAAGATCAAAGAAGAAATGATCACCCGTTTTAAAGAATACGATGAAGACCTGTACATACCTCATCAGCTGAAGTCTCTTCAACTCAACCATCACAGTTACGCGAAGTCTTTCCGCAGTAAGCGTATTTCCCAAACAAGACTTCAGAGTAAATATTCCACCACTGTACCATCGTATGACTCGTCCAAATACACTTCACGCATTACAACACCAACTAGGGACTTGCACGTCGCAGCAGAGAAGGTAATGCCACCGTATGCCGATAGGAATGTAGACCATTTTGCCAAAAGACCGGACTTACGGTTGGATTTTTCACGGGCAAATAAATCGGCATTTCCAGTGTATTTACGGCACCATAATACTTCAGGTATTACTGAACAACCCGAATCACTTGATGCTTCGTGTCGCACACATGGCCCACACGGCTTCGGACGCGTGACGGCATTTACGCATGACGAGTTAGTAAATCCGCACGAAACCAACCCAGACAACGAATGTTCACAGGATTCTCATTTGTTCAAAGTATTCAGTTCAGCAGTTCCACAGAGACAGAAGCATTCACAATCAGCATCTTGTGAAGAAAAGTGTTCTGCAGAAGCGTCGAGTGTTCACCAATCACAAGATCGAAGCGACGTGAATCCAGTATACAACCTCACTGCATATAATGAAAACAAAACCACAGGTGCGACTTCTGATGACATAAGTACGCTTCAGGCAATGACCAACAATGAACGGTTTATAAATACAGAAGATTCAAGTGCATCAAACCCGCCACATTATCTTGCGCCGGAAACAGTTGCATTGGTTGGCGTCGTAGAAGCCTGCGGAGGACTCGCTAAGAATCCTGGCGTAACACGATCAATGTCACACCACAAGCAAGTTGACGAAACGAAGAAATCACAACGTCAACGCATACTTCAACATTGTCAACGGCGAAACAAAACTTCATCGAGTGCCCTCTTAAGGCTTGAAGAACATTGCAAAAAAGCCCATCGTGGTGGATACATTCTCAACCAAACATCAAGAATGTGCCTTCCATCAAACCATCTGCGACATCACCATAGAAAAATTTCCAAAAGCCACAAAAGCACCCCTTGTACTCGGCAGAAACACAGGCAGCGCCCAATCAACCTCGATCAACGCGCACGCAAGCTGCCTGCACGACCTGTGCCGCGACGAAGAATTCGATGCCTACGATATCTGAACTGTCCATTATGCAAGGTGTTCGAACCTCGTTTGTTCTTCACAAGAATGCCGGCTGTGATTTCCGCTATCTCCACGTCCAAATCATTCTTGTGTTATCCAGGACGCAACCATCAGCCTCGCCGACCAGAACTCCTGCGTTAACCGGACTGCTGCACTCTTTCCTGAAGTTTTGCGAGTTTACGGAACATCACGGGGCCATGAAACCAATTGTGCATTTTGACATTTGTGACTTCCCAACCTCTCCTTGTGTACTTTTCCTTGTTCGTAATCCATGCCTTCTTTCGGGGGGAGGGGGAATCATGTGAGGTATGAAGCGATGGTTGGTAGAGGCAGAGAAGGAAGAAGTGACAGTAGAATAAAGATGGCGTATGAGCCAAGCCACGTCTCTCATTCTTCATAGCGTCATATATATATATATATATATATATATATATATATATATTTATATATATATATATATATATATATATATATATATATATATATATATATTCACAGCGCTTCACCTTCATCTTTTTTATCTGTATGTAATCATCATCACAAAAAACGTCGTCTTCGTTCAAAGAGTTGATCAGGCGATGAGGCCTAATAAACGCCGTCGAGACCCCAACGCTGCTACTGTCTTACAGAGTGTTGGAGGCTGCTTAAATCTCCAAGTCCTCTCCGACGTCACGTTCCCCTGGAGCTTCGTTCGGGTCACCTCTTGCTTCCCCGTCCGCTGTCATGGCTCAAGAACCGCTGCCCGGAACATTCAGCATCCCTGTCCAACAAACCATTCCTGCGTAGATCGTCAATGCCCGGCAGCGCGACCCACCCATCTTCTCTGGTCTTCCACGCGACGACGTCGACGTATGGCTGAAAGAATACGACATGACCAGTGTTTATAACCAATGGGATGAGCCTCAAAAACTTCGTCACGTCACCTTCTATCTGTCCCATGTCGCGAAAACGTGGTTTTTTAACCACGAGAGCAGCTTTCCGGATTAGCCTACTTTTGCTCAACAAGCCCGTGGGATTTTGGGGAAACCGAACATCCGTTCCGAAGTGTCCAAACGAAAGCTCGAAGGCCGTGCCCAACATCCCGGGGAGACGTACACTTCGTACATTCAAGACGTCCTTGCCTTTTGCCACCACGTGAACTCGGCGATAACAGAAGTCGATCATGTTCGGCGCATCATCAAAAAAATAGCCCATGTCGCGTTTAACGCTCTGGCTTTTAAAAACCCACCACCGTCGAGGACGTCATCACCACATGTCAACATGTTGATGAACTCCAAGCCATTCGATTGCACCAAGACTACCGAGACACCAGTGACAGCCGGCCTTCCTCGGATTCGGATTGGCACACGCTGATTCACACTTTGATTCGCGATGAACTTCAAGCGCAAGGGTTGTCATGTGCGCCCGCCCCTCAGCCTCACTCTCCATCTGCTGGTATGCGCGACATCATCAAAGAGGAGCTCTCATTCATGGCTGGTGCTCTCCCATCGAACACTCCGGTGCCACCAGTGCCACTCATGACGAATGCACAAGTCGCTGCCATGCCACCTGCCTTAGTTCAGCACGCGCATCCTGTTCCTGCGCAGTCCAACGTAGCAGAATTTGCACCACACTCGCCTGTCCCAGCGCCTGTGATAACTCCATCACACTACGCCCCCTGGCGCTCGCCTCTCCCAATATGTTACTATTGTGGCATTCAGGGCCATATTTCACGATTTTGTCGCAAGCGCCAGCAGGACGAACGCCGTGGCTACGACGTTTACGAAAGAGAATCAGAGGCCATACCCGAACCAGTACCAGCGCCGCCCTACGACACGTTCCTTCTCTCCGACCTCTCCACTCGCCGCACGTCACCCCTGCTATCCCTGACGCCGCCGGTCCCCTTCACTTCTGCGACGCTCAACATCTCCTCTGAGACCAGCTGCACCTACTTCTGACTACCACTCAGAAAACTAGCTGGTGCAGTTTTTGGAGAGAAAGCTACATCACTCGAACAAACACCAAGATCTCCAGAGAGCCCAGCCAACTTATTATTAGTGTATGCTGAACGGGTACCACTTCAAGCATTGGTGAAACCTGGGGCTGCTATTTCTGTTATTCATGTGTATTTGTGTTAACGTCTACGTAAAGCTACCACACCTTATGCTGGCACTCTCTTACGTAGCGCAAATGTCTCGCAGATATGGCCATCAGAACAGTGCACTGTTAGAGTTTTCACTGATGGGATCCGGCATCATATTCAGTTTGCGGTGCTGTCTTCTTGTGCTTTTATGCTTATTTTAGGATGGACTTTCTTTCTGATGCAGCTGCTTCTGTCTTGTCGACATAGACTCGTGCATTTGAGAGAGACGGGTGATATCTCCCGGAAATCATCACGTGACCGGCTACGAACAGCCAATGACTTCATTGTGCCACCTAACCACGAGCACGTTATGACGGTTATGTCGGACTCAATTGACCACGGTGACGTTCTAGTCAGTCCATCAGCCCGTTGTCTATCCAGATGGATTGCACTTTCATCGAGTCTTGTCCGCTTCTCCAACGGCACCGAATTTCTCGCTGTACTGAAAATCATCAATGAGCCGATTCTGCTGACCAAGGGCATTGTTGTATTTTCAAGCGTGGACACACAACCTATCTCTGTAGTGGCTTCGGATACCAGTCTGGTGGAATCACGTTCGATACCAATAGATGCTCCACCTACTACGGCTCTGGTAAATGCCATCAGCCCGAATCTCACTCCCCCGCAAGCAGACGAACAACTGGCGCTGTTGTCTGAGCATAAATTTTCTTTTGACGTACATTCCACTGCTCTACGCCAGACTTCTGCGGTGGCTCATCGCATACACACCGACGGAACTTTTATTGTCCGTCGTAGAACATACCATTTTCCTTCCAACGAACGCGAGATCATCGACAAGCACGTTGCTGATATGCTCAGGCAAAACATCACGCCCCCCTCCTCAAGCCCTTGGTCGTCACCGGTCGTTCTCGTGCGAAACAAAGACGGTTCGGTGTGATTCTGCGTTGACTACCGTGCATTAAACAATGTAACCAGAAAAGACGTTTATCCATTGCCTCGCATTTATGATGCCTTAGATTCCTTACAAGGAGCGGAATAATTTTCTAGTCTTGACCTGCGCTCCGGTTATTGGCAAGTTCCAATGCACGAAAAT